AAGCAAACAACACAGAGTGTGGTGGCATTTCAGAAGCCTGAGATGCACTATAGGTTTACAGTTTAGGCTCTTGGGTGACAGAGTCAGATGACAGGTCTGGGGAGTGGAGGGTCAGGCAGGTCACAGCTGCTAAGCACTTGCTAGTGGCGGGTCCTTTACATGTAGAATTTCCAAACCCTCATGAGCAGGTGCAGGGTGGGCACTATTTACACATGAAGAGACTGAGTGAATCTTAAGTTAATTGTCAAAAGTCATCAGGAATTGGGATTCCAGGCCAAGTCTGCCTGGCTTCAAAATTCTCACTCTTTCCACTGCCCAGAGCCCAGCCCTCATCCCACATCCAGACTGGACCCCACATGGAGGCTGGGAAATGTTAGGTCCACAGGTGTGTGTGTACAGCCTGGAGCACAAGAGGAAAGGAAGGTGAACACAGGGCTAGTTAAGAGGGAGGCAGCCTGGGGAAAGGAGAGTATCTGCTCATCCTGGACAGCAAACTACACCATACTGGCTTCTTCCCCAAGCAGTTCAAGTGTGTGAACTGCATTTTGGCCTACCTGGCCTCACCTCTGGCTTTTCCTCTTCCAAGTCACACACTAATGACCTTCAGGAGGCATTCCTTCAAGCCAGGCTAACCAGGATGCAGGGCTCACAGAGGCACGTGTGGAGGGTGTGAGGCAGGGAGGGGCAGAGGAGGCCTCACAGAGCCCAGAACGTCTGCTGGGTCTCACCTGCCCAGGCTACTCGGGCATCTCCTTCAAGGCTGTGAGGCCATGCAGAGTCCCAAGGCATGCTGGAGGTTCAACTTGAGCATGAGCTGGACCCAATTAGCTTTGGTGGGGGCCGGGCCCTCCCACAGAGGACTCCACTGTTGCAGAAGCTGAGATGGAGCTGGCTTTCTCTGCTTGGCCTTGGGGCCATCCTCCCTTCAGGTGCTAATCCATAAAGCCATTCTGAGCCAGGCCTCAGTAGCAGCTCAGGGCTAGGGTGGAGCCCAAACTCTCATTTCCCTCAGGATCAAGGCAGGTGCAGAATCAACACCTGGAAAGCAGCCAAATGGAAACCCGGAGCAGCAGCTCAGCATGTCACACAACAAATAACTTAACTGTGTAATCATCATGCAAGACGCGGGTACATCTGTATGTACCAGGAGCATGAAGGATGAGTCTGAGATGATGGTTCAGGCTGCCCAGGACCGCCTCGGCCCCACCCTGCTGCAGGCCCAGGGCCTGGCTGGAACACCCCCTCCCAGGAGAGGCTCTGGAGTGGCACTAGTAATCCCCACCTTAGACCCCTTGTCAAGCAAGCACCCCGGAAGCGGCAAGGGCACCCAGCCCCGACCTACACCCACCAAATGCACACAGTCCTGAACTACCACCCAGTACAGTGGATATTCTGCTTTAGACCACCTGGGTTTGCATCCCGGCTTTGCTGGCTATGAGCTGTGTATCTCGGGCCAAGTTATTTCTCTGTGCCTTAGTTTTCCCATCTGCAAGTGGGATGATAATGGTACCTGCATCTTAGGGGGTTGTGGTAATCAAATGTGTTAATATATGTAAAGATTTTTGGAAGCTGCCCGGCCTCTAGCAAGCCATTTCTATGATTATGCTTTTCTCCTGCTCCAGTGCAACTGTAGGTCCCCTGCTACAACTATTGCATGCCTGTTTTCCCCAGCATGTATCCAGCTTCTGCAGCACCCCTGCTGCACCCACTCAGGGCTGACCTGGCCCTCTGGGCTCAGGGAGTTGACAGGGCCCTGTTTCCAGCTGTACGGACCCCTCTCAGCTGCCATGACCGTCTGCACTGCTGACCCACTGGAAGACCGCCAGTGGGGCCTGGGCCCGCGTGTGAAAGGAGTGGAAGGAGACCAAGCACCTCCTCTCTGCTGGGCAGAACCACTGGCCAATTTTACCATGCCCCTTCACTCTCCTGTTTCACCCACCACGAGGTCCCAGAGGCCTTACATTCAAGCAAGGGAGAGGTAAGTGTGCCTGGAGCACTATAGACACTTTTTGTCTCAGTTCTTTGCATTCATCTTTCATGGTCCGGTCCAATTGTCAGCTCTTAGGGGTGGCTCTCCCTGACTCCCACAGCCATTATTCTGACTTCACCAACTGCTTGCCAAGTGTGGTCCTGGACAAGTTTCTTTCCTTTGGCCGTTTGCATTTCCTCATCTGAGAAGGGCAGATACTGTTACCACACTAACCTTATAGGACACTGGGAGGATCTACTCTAAGCCAATGGATATAAGAGGCCTGGCTTCCCTCCCCTTGGCCTCCTTGCCAGCACAGGAGATGGGGAGATACCCAGGTCTGCTGACTACCTGGGTGTGTACAGGGCCCGCAGAACCAAGCTCTTTGGTGGAATGGCCCTTCCTTCCTTCTCTACCCTATGGAATTCCTATTCAACCTTCAAGGACAGGCTCAAATGTCATCTCTTCTTTGAAACATTCCTGCTGTCCCCAGGGAAAGTAACTTTTCCTCTTCTTTGAACTCCTGTGATTTTTTGTCCCTATTATACTTTTATTATCTTTTAACTTTTATTTTATTTAACTTATATTGCCTGGCCCCTCACTGTGCTGGTGAATTGTCTGAGGTCAGGAACCATATTTTTTTCTTTGGGGGTAACTTCACAGTATGTAAATGATGCCCAGCATCTAACAGTTGCTCTACAAACGTTCCATAACTGAAATTCAGTCTTGTCCATTCTCTGCAGCCTGTAGTGGGCTCTGGAGGCAAATTCCACCTTCAGGGGCCTGTTGCATATGCAGGGTCCTGGATTTGATACTAGTTCATATGGAACCAACAAATGATAACAACTACAATCTAGTCCACAGAGTCTGTGGAGAAGCGCTCCCACATCGCCTGGGAGTGGGAGGGGGACGTGTGATTTCCTTAAGATCTCAGCTGCGTGCTAGAGGCACTGAGCCATGCCATACGGGCTAAAGGAAGCAGTGGGTTCTGAAGAGCCAAACAGTGTCTGTAGTTAACCATATTAGTTCATTACATGTTCAATGACTCCGTTTTCATTGTAAACATTTAAAAGTGCAAAGGTACGTTAATACTCCACATTCAGCAATCCTTCCTTCTTCTTACAATGGTTACTACAGGAAAACATGCCACATGATCACATTTTATACTCAGTGATTGTTGAGGTAGTTGGCATTACTACCTCCACTTCATAAATGTGGAAATTAAGGCTGAGAGAGCTAAGAAAGTTGCCCAAGGACAAGGAGACTAAAACGCAGCTGACAGCAAAGATCCAGCTCTTCTCAGCCAGTCCACAACACTATTTCCTGGTTTAGGGTCGACTGCTTGGCCCACCCTGGTCTAGAATACACAAGTGGATCTGACATGTTTCCTACCCCTCAATAAACTTGTGTGCTAGTAGAGGAGGCTGATATACAAATAATTAAAAACATACAGCAGGAAAAATAAGACTAGGGAATAGAAGTGTGTGTAATGGGTTGTGAGGGGGCTGAGAGGGGAGTGGTCAGCTCAGCCTGGGGTGGCTCAGGGACGGCTCCTCCGGGAAGCTGATGCTGGGTGTGGGCCTTAAAAGAGAACCTGAATTATGATGCACAGAGAACAAGGAGAGGAAAGGATGCAGGCTTGAAGCAGGGGGACCACATGTGCTCAGGCACAAGGTGGAGAATGCCAGGTGTACTCGGGCACGGAGAATGGCTCTACGCAGGTAGCATATGGGAGTATGAGCTGGGCCGTGACAGCTTATTTTCATCAAAGGGTCAGACTTGCTTCTCTGAGCTCTTGGGGACTGCTGATGGCCTCAGAGGAGGGAATGACATGAGCTGACCTTCATTGTGCAGGAGAGAGGCCCTGGAAGGATGATTTCTGAGTAGTAATGGAGGTCCCACATCCTTCAGAACTACTGTGGGGCTGCAGTGCAGGGCCGCTCCTTCCAAAAGTGCAGCTGTTCTCAGTGATGAGGACGTGTCTGCTTCAACAGCTGGACACCCCCATGAAGATGAGGTCTATTATGCTCTCCTCTGCCAAGGAACATAGTGATAGCAGGGAAGGAAGAAAACTGGCATTGGAGACACACTGTGCTCGGCCTGTCATGCTCATCCAGATGCTGGCTTCAGAGCTGTAAGACTTTTTCCAAAGCAAAAAATATTCTAGATCCATGATTACATGTTCCTCACATAGCACATGATTTGTAAACATGAATTTATAAATTCTATGTAAATGTAAATTACACCATGCACTCTATGTCACCTCTGAACTATGCACTGTGTATTTACATATCCTATCCTAACACACCCTAAAACAATGTATAATAAGCCCAGGCAGCACTTTCATCCTTAGGGCTAGAACTACACATATCAGTTCAAGGCACCCTACACTGAGGACCTTTTGAAAAAATCTTCCCATGTTTCCTTTTTAATTTTTAAAAATATATATTCTGAACTCATCATGAAAAAAACCAGGCAATCTTTTTAGAAAATTGGCCCCAAATTCTCTGGTTCTGAAAGAAAACGCAGTGCCAGATTTTTGCCTAATAAATTGACATTTTAAGTGGAATCTGCATCAAGCCCAAATGAGGAATACCAGTTATTTGAGTCAGCAAAAGAATTCAGTCTTTGGTAACCAACACTCCATTATTCATTGGGCCGAACTAGCAGGAGAGCTGTCTGCACTCAGGAGATGGCCAGAAAGCAGGGGGTGCTGGGGGCAGAGGTGGTAGGCAGGTAGTGGGAGAGAAACAATCTGAAATTCTTCTCGGGCCAACTCTGAACAACATGTTAGGCATTTATTATTCAGAAGTGGAGAGGCTTTGCTCTCCCCTTGCTAGATACTTCTCAGCTTATTTCTCTGCTTACAGGGTCATTTTCCTGAGCAAGTGCTTAAAATCAAAAGGCTCACTGGGCCGCTGGCCCCATCAGGAATAGCCTCTATAGCCCTGGTAAGCAAGGCCAGAGGGGTAAATTGACTCCCCTCTCTGACTCAGCCCCTCCCTGAGCCCTGGCCCCCAGAATGGCTCACCGGGGCCTGCGGAAGGTCAGGCCGTAGTGCTGACAGGCCAGCCCCACGGTGGGTGTGTACACGATGGGCATGAATTTCTCCACATCTGATGTCAGCACTCGGTAGAAGAGCTTCTCGTTCCGGTCTTGGAGTGTCATGAGAATGATGTACCTTAGAAAGGGAGGAAGGAACCAAGCTGATACAGGGACACTGTACGCGGCAGCCTGGAGGTCCCATCATGCAAAGGCCCAGGGCTCCCACTTAGACACGAGGCATTCACAGGCAATCGCCATCTCCCCCAGGCATGTGTCCCACTATGGTTGTAATGTGGAGAATATTATGGGCTGTACGGTGCTTATTATTATACACAGTGTAGGTTCTATTCTAAATATGTGTATTAACTCATTTAAAACTCCCAATGATTTGTGAGGTAGGTACTATGATTCTGGCTATTTCAGAGACAAGGAGACCGAGGCACAGAGAAATGAAATGACTTGCCCAAGGTCCCATGGCAGCATAGGGGTTTGGACCTGAGCATTTTGACTCCTGAATCTGTGCTCTCAGCCATGCTGCATGATGGCCAGTTATGTACCAGGATGTGGACATTAATGATGACAACAGAGAAATAACATTCTGGGGTGGAGCAGGGTCAGGGAAAATACTGGGCATATCAGATGGATGAACTGGCCTTTCCTACCATGCAGAGCTGGTTCTGTCATAAGCAGAGTTCACAAGTGGCTGAGAACCAAGTGGTATCAGTAGGCAGGTTTCAAAAAATCTCTCTCTTACTTATTCCCTGAAGCCCGAAATCACTAAGCCAGGAAAAGAGCCTTTCATTCACACTTCTGTAAATGCAAATACTTCTGAGAGAGAGAAAAAAAAAAAACAACCCAGCGACTGAAATTCACAATGATGTATAAGTGACTGCTGATGCCAGGAGCTTTCTGGACCACAGTTTGGGAGAATGTGGAGGTGCTTAGGGCTCTGGCACAGAACTGGGTGAGACAGATGCTCCGAATGACCCCTGGATATGGCATCAGGGTCCTGGGCTTGAATCCCAGCTCTGCTGTTAACTAGCTGTGTGACTTTGGGGAAGTTGTGACTTCCCCAGAGTCACAGCCTCTTCTTCCCGATCAAAGCACTGGTCCTGAACTAAAAATTATGTCTTAGAAGGCACTTTCAGGAAAGCATCCTTTATACTTAGAATAGCCAGGATCTCAATTCATTATATGGTGTAAGGGTTCCTTACTCCATAGCCATCTGTACACATCTCTTCCCAATTCTTCATTCGGTGATGTCAAGTTGGTAAGTTGAAATTGTGCATGGTGGAGTACTTACAACATGGAAACTGGGAAATGCTAAAACTCAGGGCTCCCCCTCAGTCCTCAAAGCAGTTATTAAACATTTACCAGCACACCACTGCCAAAAGCAGCTGAGGAGCCTCCTTAGCATTTCCCCAAGCATCGGCGGCAGTGAGAGATTCCAGGAATGAGGGAGTAGTCAGCACAGCCTCAGGAGCAAGCTTTCTAGAGCTGCTAGGATCAGGCACATACCCGTGTCCCTGAGCCCCGTATCCTCCCAGGCTTATGAATGAGGCCCATTGAGCTGGAAAGGACTGGGGAGGAAAGGATTTTGGATTTTATTTTTTAAAGTTTAATATCTCTAGGAAAGAGGATTTCACTTTGGACTTTCATTCTTCTTTGTAAATTTAACAAAAGAGGAAGATTCAGATTGTTCACAGTTACGGCATGTTTGATATTGTTAGTTGGATTCATTGTGAACTTTCTGGTTTGCTCTTCAGGGTGACGTGGCTGAACGTAGTCTGAGTGGGAAAAACAAGAGCAAGAGACTATCTGGCCTGGAATTAACGTGAATGACATCCATAGAGTTTAGTGCTTCAGGAGTAGGAGAATGGGCAG